GTGTGGAGGGGGACCCCCAGACTCCCCCCAGCTTGACAGTTAGCCACAGGGGAACCCCAGGTGCCCCCCAGACCCAGGAGGCACCAGTCACTAAGTTGGGGGGGTGCACAAGGGACCACCCGCGCACTCCCCAGTGGACTCAGAAGTGTACTTCTGGTCCACTTCTGGGTCTGCTGCTGAGCATGCTGGGGATCCCCCCTTGCTTCTGTGGGACACTCCATGTGCCCCAGCCTCACAGCAATCATGAGCCACCTGCTACTTAGAGGTATGTAGAAAAAACATTTAAAGCTGTCTATGTCCAAATCTCCGAATTTTTCTGAATCTCTCCAAATTGATTTGGCGGGTTCCGATACAATTCAGAGAGATTAAAGGGGCCTCTGATTCAATCCAGATTCAGGGATTTGGCCGCCAAATCTCCAGTGAATCGAATCAGGGGCCGAAGCTTCGCACAGCCCTAAGAGCTACCTGTGCTTGCCATCTGGTTAGGATGCACCAAGCAGAGCTCAGGCACAGCTGTGTGTCTGGTCTCTATCTGGTCATATTGATGGGCAGATTAAAGTTCATTTTGATCTAAAGCAGAGCAAAATGTAGCTTGCTCTTATGGAGAGGATGGGGGGAGATGGTGAAACTCAGCATGCTTGGCATTATGCTGAATTGTGAGAGGGTCTGCCTCTGTTTCTCCAGACAGTCATCTTCTCTTCCTATCTCCTTTGCACAGTTGGGCCCAGGATGGCAACAGAACCACAGTCCCTCCTCGTTGACCTGGGGTCAGATGCAGTATTCAACTGCGCTTGGACTGGAAATCCATCTCTGACCATTGTCTGGATGAAGCGGGGCTCAGGCGTGGTAAGAACTACAGTCACAGGAGAAATACTGCACCACATTTGAGATCAGGGGCTAGAGCCCAAGAGGCAGTGCAGGGGAATGGGTATGTCACAGCATTCAAGTTCATACAAGCTGGCATTGAGGTCTGCCTCTGCTACCGATTTGCTGTCAATTTTGCTTCTCTAAGCATATTGTCTCTCAAAACTTTTTCCATTTGCTCTATAGCTTCTTTGGAGGTGGGCAGCTTCTTAGAGAGTGTGTGTGCGTGCGTGCGTGCGTGCGTGCGTGCGCGTGCATGTGTGTTGCCTTGTAAACCAAAGCCCCAACAGACACTGGAGCTATTGTAATACAAATAATAAACTGCAATTTTAAGGGGGAAAAAAACTTCCATTGAAATCAGGCCAAGCACCCACTGCTCAGTATTCATTTATGGCTCAATCTTGTCAATCAAAGAGAGTCTCTTGAGGATGTTAAGCAGAAAGCAAGGCATCTTAGGGCATTTATACATGTGCTGTGGGAGTAGGGGGGACACTTTAATTAAAGCAACTTGTTGCCTTGTAATTACCACACTCCGGCAGACTCAATTAATCGAGTCTGCTCCGATGCACTGTAATTACAAGGCAACAAGATACTTCATCAGCTGCTCTGACAAAGTAGGTTGCTTCCTGCAAAAGCTCATGTCATTCTGAACCAGTTAGTTTCTCAGGTGGCAGCCTGTTCGGTCTTCTGCCTGACTTCAGACTAACTTGGCTAGCCACCTCTCTCTTGAGGATGTTAAGCTTGATCTGCTTCCAGTGACCAAACTGAGAGTTGAGGACTCAAAGATTGAGACCTCCTCTGGCTCTTGTATACCTGACCTAATCCTACAAGACAAGGGTTGGCAACATATGATTTGCAGAATTACTGAATCGGGCCCGTGGAGCTAGGGGAATCTAGTAGCATGTTGCCAGTGGGGGGCTTTGCCCACATTGACATCAGAGCTGGGCAGTAAGGTGCTGTGGCAGGGTCTGAAGGCTGGGATCTGTGTCTATCCTGTAGCCAGGGGTCAAAGTCATTATTTGAAGATGACAAAGATTGCAGTGTGGTAAATACCAAAAAGATGGTCATGGATATGGGCCAATCTAGCTTGGTTGATAATCAGGGAAGAAGCAAATAATATATGTTTTAGAGCCAAATGTAAAATTAGACATACAGAGAATGTCAATACAAGATCGTAGACTGTCCTGAGACCAGAGAGTCTTGGTAAATAATCAACAGAAGTTGAGTTTCCAATTGCATTAGCCAAAAAGCTAATGCAATCCTTGGATGTATAAGTAAAGTGTTCTCTGTTAAGAAGATAGGTTCCATTATCTAGGTATCGGGAAGTGGTACAACAGCTACTGGAATACTGCATCCAGTTCTGGTGACCATCATTCAAAAAGAATGTTGGTTACCTGGAGAGGTATTGGAGAAGAGCAACTTGAATGATGAAAGGATTGGCAAACAAATCTAGCAATGAAATGAGTCCCCCAGAAGGGTAATAAGTTGATCACAGTCCACTTGTACCTACACAGGGAACAAAGCTGTGCTAATGAGGTCTTCAATCAGGTACCCAAAGGTATATCAAGAAGGAGAGGGAGAGGGCGAGGAAGCAATAAACGTTCAAGGCAGAGGCAAGCAAACTACAGCCTGCCAGCCATACTATCCAGCCTGTGGGGCCCCTAAAAAATGTAGAAAGTTAGCATTTATCTGCTCCTGGCTGCCTGTCAAAGATGACAGGAGTCAGGGCAGTAGGACCCAGGGGGGCCAGCAGGACCCAGAAGCCCAGCCCCACCTCACCCACAGCCCTTTCCCTGCCTTGCTGCCATGCACTGCTCCAGCACCACATGGCTGCATTGCCAGACCGGGGAGCACAGGCCACAGCGGTAACCTAGGATGGGGGGGG